CTTTATTGTTGAAGTTCCTGCAGGAAAAATTATCTAGTTTAACTCTCTGTAACACAACCCTCCTTTTCTCAAATGGAAATAGCTATTTATTAATATGCTTTTTAATAATGTGAGGTTTCTTCAGAACATAATTATGGTATAGCAAAACTAATTAATTTATTTGGCTACAGTAATTTAGTTGAGCATTCTGCTACCTACACAAAATGATGTATTGTCATTTAGCTAGAGTTTGTATAGGACAGCAAGATTGTCTCAAGTAATTCTTCTTCAGCAGTCTATATGGATGACCAAGAGGCCAAGACTTCTCTGTCTCCTCCTCTGCCATTCTGCCCATTACAGGTTACTTACCAAATATACCATGACCTTTGCACCTCTTTTTAACCTTTTATGTCTAGTCCCTTTCCCAGGAGTTCTCTGTCCTCTTTCTAGGCCTGGAGGAATGCTAGAAGAATCCAGCATTGGAACCTCCCCTTGCCTCCTGACTTCTATAAAGGTGGTACATTTCATGTTGTGGTCTTGCTGGTCCTTGTGGGACTGCTTCCCCTGTAGACTAGATCATCTATTCCTTGTGACCACACCATAATCATCTCTGCATTCCTTTGTGTTGCTTCCAATTATTTGATATAAAAATGAGTGCTCAACAAAATTACTTGCATTCAAATGACTAATGGAAAGATATGAAGAGTATCATTTACTAGCTGCAATGGTGTTAGTTATGGATAGTAGATCCAGCACATTTTACTCTCATTAACAGTATCACCTATTGTACATAACCTAGTTACTCCCTGACATACCTGCTATTCACCCACATTTAGTTGATGTCATGGCCTCAGAGAGCACTTTGCATGCGACTTATTTTAGAATTTATCTGTGAATTACTTATTCTGTTTTTCTCCCTTCTTGCATCGTTAGCTCCATGAAGGCAGGGTGATTTCTGTATGTTTGTGGTGTGCATCCTGAACTCTCCAGGCCTTAGAACAGTGTATGGTATATAATAAATCTTTCATAAATGCTTTATTTTAACTTCTCATTTGTCTTTCCTAATTATGCTTATTTGTATTTTCTTAATTTTTGGTGCCAAGTAAAATATGTTTAATTGTAATTTGGACTACCTTGAACCAATTTAGTAATTTTGAAAATAGATAATAGGCATTATTACATCTTGTTATTGAAAGTTGACATCATTTTATATTATTCTCTATTGTGATAGTCAAACCAAATTTTATTATTGATGAATGACTTCAGGGAGTTCTTTCTAAAGGTCACAAGTGATGTTTAATAACCTGAAAAAAGATTACCTTGTGGAAACAGGAAGTAGCAACATAGCCTAGAAGCCTTAATTTATTTAAGCCCTACCATTGCTCAATGGTCTTTTCATCTGCCATTTTCCAGAGGCTTAATAATCTGAAAAAAACATTCTGGAAAGGAAATTAAACTTGCAGTTTGAGATAACAGAGCTTTTAGAAACTTATAAACTGAAAATATTAGAAAAGATACTGATCAAGGAAAAAAAAGCAAAAAGCAATTTGTTTGGAGGTACTAAGTAAGATTGTCTAAAGTGAAAACTTAAAAAAGAAATGGGCAGATGGTTGTAATAAACTTGGGGAAGATTAACTCTGGAGCTGTGTTCTAACAGGTTTTTACTGATGCATCTGTTGCTAACTAATTTCCCCTTGCCTGTCTGATAAGCTAAGCTTAAGTTTGGAGGTTTTGTAATAGAAGCAATTAAATGTTCAATACTGTCATATTTTTCATTAACTTACCAGTAAGTGGTTGAGTTTATATGGATAATTTGATTTATTTTGAAGTGAATAGTAATTACAAGTTGTGTTTTATTAGGCAGCTTGTTCTTTTGTGATATGATTTGCTTTTAGCTACAATATAATTTCCTTTGCACTTTTTAGTTCATAGTTCTTTAGGGAGAAAAAAATAGGCCTAGGCAATATCTGCAAATATAGTATTTTTAAGGTAGATGAAACAGATTGATTTGGGGGACTCTCAATTTTGGGTGGTAGATTGGATTTGTCACAGACCTGGTATATGATGCCATTATTATGATGCAGGAAAAAAGTAGAACTGGACCCTTAATACTCTGAGAAGCTGTCATATGTTTGCAGTATCTCCAAAAGCTGAATATATGTATAACTGCAGTGCAGTAGTTCTACTCCCAGGTAGTTATCTAACAGCAGTGCATCCATATGTTCATGGAAAAACATGCCCTGAAATGGTCAAAGCAGCCATAGCTAGAATCTACCCAAATGCTGGTCATTAGTAGAATGGATAAGTAAATGGTGATGGTTTTCCACAATGGAAATCTGTCATTGCAAAGGAACACTACTGCTGTATACAACAGGGATGAATTTCACAACATAAGGATGAGTGAAAGAAGCCAGGTACCAAAGAATACATAGGGTGTGGTTTCATGTATGCAAAGTATTTTAAAAGACAATCTAGGTGTTCAGAATCCTTTGAAGTACCTTAGAAGAGTAATAACTAGAAACAGACATAAGGAGGGTTTCTGGGGTTCTGTTTCTTGATCTCATTGCTGATTATCCTTAGGTATGTTCAGTTTGTAAAAATTAATAGAGCTTATAATGATTCAGAGCTTATGATGTTATATGCATATACATGTGTTAATATATAGTCATTATTTCTTTTGGTACTTGACTGCAAATTTGTTGACGCCACCAGCCACATCTTTCATTTCTCTATCCAGGATCACGAATGTGGTGGATGTTTAATAAATACATAATAAGTGATTGTTTTTGCCCTTGAAGAAATAAGATGAATGGAGGCAGTGCCTGAGGCAGGAACAAGCAACAGCTTTTGGCAATAGCTTTGTTGTTTCCCTTGAACTGTCTCAATTTGATTAATCCCTTTGACCTCTCTTTCTCTCTCAAAATTTTTCTGTTAAGTATTCATTGTAGAAGATTAGGAAATATGAAAAAAAAACCTATAAAAACAAAAAAGACAAACACTATAATCCTTCTATACAAAGGGAAACTCATGTTGTTTTGTTATATTTTTTCTTCTTTTGCTTTTCCTATAATTCCAATGGTTTCATGCCCTCTGTTCTCCTCTCTCCTGTCCCACCGCTGCCCTTATTTTCATTTCTTAAGACAAGTTGAAGTAAATTCAAGAGAGAAACTTCTCTACTGTTGTAGGGTTCTTGGGTCAAATGGGACCTGCATATGTTGCTGCCTCCATTTTCTTTCTACCACACACAAAGGTGTAACTCAGAGTAGGATCTGGGCTTTCATGTCTTGCTGGAAAATAGTATCACATGACCTAGAACTCACGTTCCTCCTGTCCACAGCTTAAATTTTTGAAATTATGTTGGTCATAGTATATCATATACTCCAAACCTCTGAGAAAGACTTAGAATTCCTCGAGGATAGAACCATGCTGCTTACTAATGCTATTGTCCTCAGTCTCATCTAGAAAGCAGGCCTGGATCCAACAGCTTTTAGACTAAAATCTCATGACTCCTGGTTCCCTGCCTTACAACCTGAAGATTTGCTTCTCTAGGTCCTGCCTGGATTTCTGGGCAGTTGTGCAATGCTGCACTGTTCTTCATGTTTCTGGAACCACATGGAGGCCAGCCAGTGCTCTGTGGCTGACGTGGTCCCCTTGTTCTGACCTGGAGCTGTCAGGCTCCTGGGTGCACACAACCTACAGTGTTTGTACTCTTGCTCTTGCCTCCTAAAAATAGAGTCCTAAGACAGTCCTAAAATATACTCCTAGGCGTCTCTCCTTCTTGACTTTCTTCAGATTTTTCCTTCCAGACTCCTCTGAGCTTTGTCCCTAGTTTCTCCTTTGTCTCCTGAAGTATTTGAATGATCCTATTTTAAATTAGATTATTCATCTTTGTAACACTGATAGACTATGTTTCTCCTGACCTTTAAAATACCTTAATGGGTACATTGTTTTGATTGTTCTGTTCTGCTCTGGTTTAGGACAAAGTGACATTTGCATTATCTCTAGACCTCTGCTTAACCCGGTTACTATAAATTATTGCCTGTCCTGAGAACAGTCCATCTAAGTGAGTACCCTGCTGTGCGGTGGTGGTGGTGGTGGGTGTGTCTATGACTGTGATATAGAAACAAAGGGAGAAGTTAAAAGAGAGAATTGTTCAGAAAAGAAAAGCAGGCTATAGTTTGGATTTGTATCTTTATCATTTCTGTTTTATCTAACCCTCGGCCTATGCTAAGTTACCTTAAGTGGCCTGGAACCTCCCATTCATCTGCAATATTTCTGCTGTCCTTTGGTGCTAAGGAGCCAAAACTTAAGGTGATTGTTTATATTTTATTCCCTTAGTGGCCATCAGGGTCCAGATATCTGCATGAGGGTGAGTTTGTAGTGGTGATATTTATGTTCTGGCTGTCAGGAAGGCAGTGCTCAATTTTTTGGGAAAGCAAGTTGGGAGCTGTCATTCACATCCACGCCTTCTCCTGGAGGCCTGGAAAGCCTGGGGAGCAGCTGCCTGCAGGAGGAAGGTTTATGGTAGGGTCTTCATGTCTTAGGGAAGTGGTTCACTATTCTGAGTCCTTCTCTTCCAAAGTTTTTGTCCATTTGTTTTTGAGAAAGTAGCAATGTGGAACTTTCATGCAGAGGAAAAACTAGGAAAGGGGTCATTTATATAATACAAGCAAAAAATAATACAAACTCACCCTGCTGGGTTGCATTCTAATTTGACTAGTTCTTTCAGTACATTAAAATATTAATATTAAAAGTACTTAATTGTTATTGTGAAAAGTACTTAATCTACAGAGTTTGGTGGGGGTGAAAAGTAATAATGGAAAACACAGTTTGCATTTATCTAACTGTTGGTTAGCACTTCTGCCTCACTTCATCCCATCCTCCTCTAGTCCTAGGGGCAAGATGTTGTTGTGCAGAGGACTGCTATAAAAAGATCTGTTTGCTGTCTTAGTGTCTTTGGGCTACTACAATAAAATATCATAGACTAAGTGGCCTATAAACAATAGAAATGTATTGCTTACAGTTCTGGAGGCTGTGAAATCCAAAATCCAGATGTTAGCAGCTTTGGTGTCTGGTAAGGACCTGATTCATGGTTCACAGATGGTGCCTTCTAAGTATATCTTCACATAGAGGAAGGGACACCAGGGCTCTCTGAGGTCTCTTTTATAAGGGCACTAACCTCATTCATAAGGGCCCCTCCTACATGGCCTAATCACCTCCCAAAGGGCCCACCTCCTAAGATCATCAGCTTGGGGGTTATGATTTCAACATAGGAAATTGGAAAAGACACAAACATTCAGACCATGAGCACCCTGCTATTCTCAAACTTATTAGAAAATCTTGTCCTTATTTATTTATTTCTTGGAACACTTGCTAGCATCTCAGAGGACACAGGTAGTATTCTACAGACACATTTTGGAAAATAAGAGGTTCAACAGTCAAACCTCCAGCTAGGGCTGAGCTAGAACCAGACGGCATTTTCCTCCCGCTGCATTACCAGCTTTCCAGAGTCTTCCTGCTAGTTGGTGAAAACTAGGGCAGTACATTATAATTCATTATTTCTTATTCCGTCATATACATTTACCTTAGCACTGTGCCAGGGCATTACAGATAGGACAGGGTTCCTGACTCTAAGAAGTGACAGGTAAGAGACACATGTGAACATTCAGTAGACATAATAGTTGTTGATATCATATACTGAATGCTGTGGAGTGTGGGTGAGAGCTGGCCAGCTCCACCTGGGGAATTGGGGAAGGTTTTCCATAGGAGGAGGATAACAAAGTCCCCAGGAACTGTGGAGGCTTCCAAGTGGAGAAACCAGGGAAGGGGAGAGTCAGGAACGTTTTTATAGCTCTTTTTTTTTTTATTTTTATTTTTTTTAGTTGTAGATGGACACAATCTTTATTTTTATGTGGTGCTAAAGATCGAACCCAGTGTCTCAGGCATGCAAGGCAAGCGCTCTACCACTGAGCTACTACCCCAGCCCTTTAGGAACCTTTTTGATGGCATTTGAGTACTAGGATTTTTGGCAGAGTGGTTGGTAGAAGAGCACAGATGGCGTTTAAAGTCAACTTTGAGTCACTCTGAAATTACAGACATTCAAGGAGAAAGATCTGGAAACCCTCCAGCAAGTTATTTGACCTTCTGGTCTCTCAGTAACCATTTGGTGTCACACTAATAAATGGCAGTTCTCTGTAAAATTGTGCCATGCAGGAAGTTACAGAATCATTTTTAAATTAAAAAAATAAAAGTTCTCGTGACTTAGCCTACAAACTATGGGACTCACTTTTTATTTTCATAAGTGACTTTTTACTAGTAAGTTTCCCCTGTGTTGTGGATTCTTCATTCACATCCCATCTTCTAAAATGGCTTATTAAGGGTAAATAAAACTTTAGCTTCTGAACACGATAGTTAATGAGTTGAAAACTTTTTGTAATTATTTTTCTTGTTGCCTTGACAACTGCTTTTTTTTTTTAAGCTTTTGGTGTTTTTCAACAATATGAGCTACTTCCTTTGGTTTAGCTGAGACCTCTGTGTAGAGATTTGTATCTTATTCAGAGAGTCTCTAATGTAAGTGTTTATGAGGCATGAATTTTTTTATTTTTCAGAATCTTAATAGGTTGAATGAGATAAAAAATATCACATAACTGTTAGCTTGCCTGACTCATCAAAGAACAAATATTGATGAGTTTCTATGTCTGATGTCAAACATTGTTAAAAGAATTTGGATTTATTTTCATAAAATGTCATAAAATATTTTAATGTTTGGCTTTTTAATGTCCCTGACAAAATCTATTTAAAAATTGTTTGCAGATATCAGAAATGCACATCCTTCCTCCTGATCTCCTTTGCTCACATGGCTGTGGCCTCCTGGCTGGTTCTCATCCTTGCCAACCTGTTCCCATCTCAGGGCCTTTATCATTTTCTCTGTTTAGAACCTGTCCCAGATCATTGCATTGCTCCAATCCTTGTTCAGTTAGTTCTCTGGTTAAATGCTGTCACCACAAAGGGGACTTTTTGAACCTCTCTGTCCGAAACAGTATCCTTACCCATCTTTCTCTGGTTAGTCAAGCAGTAGGAAGATCCATTTCTGGCAAAACAGTCCAGACATACTGTACAAAGCCCCTCAATCCATAGCCCTACCCACAGCAAGAGCTTCCAGTTAAATTTTAATGCCTCACCCTTAACTATGAACCCACAGCCAAAGATCACCAGCTACTTGAAGAGATCCTGTATTACAAAATACAAAGAACAAGACTAATAAGAAATAAAGAACATGAAAGAAACAGGAACAATAATGAAGGAGGAATAATAAACAAAAAACAAAAGACAAGGCAGAGGAAATCATCATAGAAATGATACAAGAAATTTAGCAGAGGCATAGCGTGTAGTCCCAGGTCAACAACTGTGGAATAGGCAATGCAAATGCAGAAGAGAAAAACTACTTACCTTAGAAGCAGCAATATACTAATATGATATTATTATATAATAAAAAATATTCTTAGGCTATTTAGCAGTGATCAATATTTATATGTTTACAATAATATAAACACTACATATTGTTTTAATAAAAAAATTGACCTCACCATATTTAGAAAATGGGGAAGGAAGCCTTTGTATCTGCACATATATGTATATCTGAGGCCTAAATTCTTTTTTTTTTTTGGTACCGGGGATTGAACCCAGGGGTGCTTAACCACTGAGCCATGTCTCCAGCCCTTTTTAGTTTTTATTTTGGGACAGGGTCTTACTAAATTGCTTAGGCCTTGCTAAGTTGATGAGGCTGGCTTTGAACTAGAGATTCTCCTGCCTCAGCCTCTTGAATTGCTGAGATTACAGGTGTGCACCACCACATCCAGCTTGAGGCCTAAATTCTTACCTACCATAATAGGATACCAATATATACTATCTAAAAGTGATGCATTATTGTAGGTAAACATATTAATCAAATACATAATGATTTTAAAAACTAGAATGGCAAGTTTCTGTAGTAGACTATGAGGAATGGGGGAGAAGATGATAGAAGGGAGAAAGGAACTATTGTTTTTCACCTTTAGCCTCATGTGATTTTTAAAATCTATGAGCATATATTACATTGATAGAACTAAAAGTTAGTTATTAATCAACATATAAGTTTGTTTTTTAATACATTTATTTTGTTTATTTATTTTTATGTGGTGCTGAGGGTTGAACCCAGGACCTTGCACATGCTAGGTGAGCGCTCAACCGCTGAGCCACAACCCCAGTCCCAACATATAAGTTTTAAGCAGCTCTTCTTGTGAGCACATCATTGATAACAGTTTGATGTACGTTTGATTAATAGGAAATTCTGTCCAGCATGTGGCTGGATGGACTTGCCTGGCAGACTAATTTATTTAACCAAATCCATTTTCACTTACATACAGAATAATTAACTCAGACTCACCTTGTTGGAAGTCATGCTAAGGATATTTATCATTTCCTTCTCCACCATGGAGACAGATTGGGCTATGGTCAGTGGAGGCTATAAGCTTATTAAAAATGGAATAGGTGTGTGTGATATTAAATGGAGCTTTTTAATTACTTTTGATATAATGGCGTACCTTTGCCATGTACTTACTCTTTAGCAAATATTTACCTTCCCAAACTGGCATATTTACAATTTATAACTTGCCATGTCAAAGGAAGCATTTTATCTTTCGTCCACCCTCCAGAAGGATCTCTGTTCAAAATTATCTTTTAAAAATAGCTGACAAATTCTCTTTTGTGGGGAACATTCAACATTTCCATCCTGTGGTTTGGAACTTACTCTTCTCTCTCCTCAGAACCATAGTATACACTTACTGATATGTTTATTTGGGGTATGGTTTAATGTTTTTATTTGGATATCTGAGTCATAGAAGGAGGAATGAATAGATGGATGAATGGATGAATAGATGGATGATGAATGGAGATTGGTAGATGAATGGATGGATGGATAGATGGAATGGATTATTAGACAGGCAAGACCAAATGTATGTAAATACAGCTTCAGATAACAGAGAATATGTTGCGAGTGTTAGTGTTAAGGTTTTCAGTTCATAAAAATCTATATAATGGTCAGCTTTCCAAGCAAAGGCTAAATAATGATCATTCTATTGAAAACCCAAGAGTTACTGCTGAAGGAAGAATCAGTAATATGCTCTCTTAGAAAGTTTTAAAATAACTAATGGGTATTTTTTATTTGTACCATGAAACCGATGTGAGGATCTAGAATTGGAAATGGATATCAAAGTCTAGGTATGGATGTCTTCAGTAACTGTGTGGTGGAAGAATGATTTTTGGATTCCCCTCCCTCTTCCCACAATACTTGAAATCACTTTCTAGACCATAGGTAAAAAAGCCACATAAATTAATATCTTTTGAATTTAGGAGATAAGAAACTGTGAGATTCAATTCCTAGAAGTACTATTAGAATTAATGAATACAGTAAATTACAAGTTGCTATTTATAAGCTGGGCATGGTAGCACACACCTGTAATCCCAGTGACTCAGGAAGCTGAGCCAGGTGGATCACAAGTATTGCCAGTCTGGGGAACTTATCAAGACCCTATCTTAAAATAAAAAATAAAAAGGGCTGGAGATGTAGCTTAGTAGTAAAATGCTTGAATAGCATGCACAAAGCCTTGTGTTTTAAGTGGGGCAGACAAATTTTATTCAGTACCATTCTAATGAGGAAATTTATATGAGAGGAATGGAAATTTCCTACCTATGAGTTTATCTGTGTGCTGTATTATTGTTCTTTTATATGCTTAATCTCTGGGGACATACTTTTTGGGTTTGCATACTGGCTCTGCCACTTACTAGTTGTGTGTCTTTGAACAGTTTCTTAATCTCTGTGCTTTGGTTTAGTCATATGTGAATCTCTCAGCCCACTCAATGCCTATTCCAGTTCCCTTCTAGCATGATTTCTTGTTTTACAGAGGATGTGAACTTTCCATTTCCAGAATCTCCAATAGCTAGTGTTCTGGTTATAAGTCAAGATCTGCTAATCAGGGGCTGAGGTTTTTGCTCAGTGGAAGAGCGCTCACCTAGCATGTCTGAGACCCTGGATTCAATCCTCAGAACCACATAATGATAAATAAAGATATTGTCCATCTA